CGGCGGGGCGGGCGTGTCGCCTGAGCCTTTTCCCTTCTGACGATCTCCTGCCGCTTGAAAACTGCAACGGGTTCTGGGATCAAGGGGGGGCGCATTCAAAAGGTGACTACCGCCTGCTCGCCGCGCGAATCGGTCTTCCACTACTGCAGCGATTTCCAGGATGGAGGACGGCTCATTTTCAAAATGTGGCGCTCGCATTGGCGCCTCGCACATTGGTCTTGACCTGTTGAAGCGACTTGAAGGATGGAAGGAGTCTCCTTTTCAACATGTGGTTATCGCTTGACCACAGCGCACATTCATCTTGAACTGTTGAAGTTCTGTCGAGGATGGAGGGCGGTTCCTTTTCATCATGCTGCTCTCGCCTTGGCGCCGCGCACAGTCGTTTCAAATGTGGGGTTCCCTTTCTGATTGTGGTTCTCGTCCAAGCGCCCCGCACACTCGTCTTAAGCGTTTGCAGCGCTGCCCAGGGTGGAGGGCTGTTCTTTCTCAAGATGTGGCCCTCGCCTCAGCGCCGCGAACATGCGTCTCAAAACCTCGAAACAGCTTCAAGGATGAAAGGGGGGTCGTTGTTCAAATCTGGCACTCGCTTTGGCACAGCGCACATTCGTCTTCAACTTTTGAAGAAGCTTCAAGGATGGAGGACAACTCCCTTTCAAACTGTGGCTCTCGCCTGAGCTCCGCGCGCAATCGACTACAAATGTTGAAGCGCCGTCAAGGGTGAAATCGATTCCAATCTAAAAAGTGTAGCTTCCGTTGCAGCGCCGGGGCCCTCTCCTCCCCCCAACATCTTGCAACAACTCCACATATTGAAAAAGCGGCCGCCTTGAAAATGTGGCTCTCGCCTGAGCGCCGCGCGCAAATGCCTGCAAGTGCTGAAACGTTTTTAATGACAGGAGGCGACCCCGCTGCAAACTGCAACTTTCGACGCAGCGCCGTGCGCCTCTGCCCCGATCTCAGGCAGCTCATCCACACATTGACCAACGGTCGCCTTCAAACTGTGGCTCTCGCCTACATTCGGCTTCACGCAAAAACTAGAAAGATGGAGGACGGCTCTATGTCAAACTTGTGCTATCGCAGACCCATGTCTGAGTATCGACACCCGACGCTTCAACACAGGCAGCGCTGCACCGAAACAGGGCGGCTCTGGCCCAGCATGGACCTCTCGCGGTCCTTTGAGCTGGTGGCCACACGCGCACACATGTGCAACAGTTACACAGCTGGGGATGGGAGGGCGCTGCTTCTTCGAAAGAAAGGGTGTCGCTGGACATCTCGTTCAACCGTATATTCATAGTTTCTCGCATTCCTGATTACGCGCCAAGAAGGATGCACAGGACGGTCCGTTTCAAAGCGGGGCCTCTCACCTGGCAAACCAAATGATGCTCGCCTTTCAAGGGGAGCATGTCTTGCAGAGAAGCGGAACCAGAAGGTGTGTTTCATCATCGCAGACGCACCTTGGGTGTAATCGGGTCATCCTCTTCATCCTCCCTCCCCTCATTCTCCTCCTCCTCCTCGTCCTGTTCGTCGTCTCTACGTCCTTCTCGTCCTCACTCACACCCACCCACTCACTCACTCAATCATTCCTCCTCCTCATCCGCTTCCTCCTCCTCCCTCCCTCCTCCTCGCTCCTCCTCCTCCTCCTCCTCCTCCTCCTTCTCCCGCATTCCTCCTTTTCCTCCCGTCTTCCATCTCTCCTCCTCCTCCTCCTCCTCCTCCATCCTCCTCCTCCTCCCCCTCCTCCTCCTCCTCCTCCTCCTCCTCCTCCTCCTCATTCTCCACCCTTGAGTCCTCCCTCCTCTTTCTCTTCCTCCCCCCCCTATCCACCTCCTCTCCTCTCCTGCTCCTCCTCCCTCCTCCTCCACCTCCTCCCCCTCCTCCTCTCTCCTCCTCCTGCCCCTCCTCCTCCTCTCTCCTCCTCCTCCTCCTCCAATTCCTCCTTGTCTCCCATTCCCTCACCGTCCTCCGCCCCCTCCCCTTCCCCCCCCCGTTACCCCCTCTCACTCCCCTTCATCCTCCCGCCCTACCTTCTCCGCCTGTTCTCCCCCTCCTCCTCTCCCCCACCGCCCCCCCCTTATCCGTCCTCCCTCTCCTCTCTCTTGCCTTTCTCATCACCCCCCCCCTGTCCTCCTTCTCACCTCCTCCTTCTCCTTCTTCTCCTCCTCCTAATCCCCCCGCCCCCTTCCGTCCATGCATCCATCCTAGGAGCAGGAGCAGGACTACGAGGAGGAGGAGCAGCAGGAGCGAGGAGCAGGAGGAGAAGGAGGAGCAGGAGGAGGAGAGGGAGGAGGAGGAGGAGGAGGAGGAGGAGGACGAGGAGGAGGACTGCCAAGTACGCAATAGGCTTTGAGGGCACCTAGAGGAAGAGACGGAAGAAGATGAGGAGAGGAGCGATGAGGATATGAACGGTATCGGCGACGCGCACAAGGGGGTAGGGGGAGGGGGACGGCTTCTTGGAAGGAGGCTGCTTCTTAGAAGGCGCGGACCCTGCACATCTACAAGCAAAGTCAGCGCCTTCTGAGAACCAGTTTCCTTCTAAGAAGCCTTTCCCTCTCCCCCTACCCCCCTCCGCGCGAGGCTGAAGGTAGACCTGTCGGGTGGGTGTGGCCACATTGGGGCATTCCTTACCCACACGTAACAGCGGCTGACCCCCTGAACATGCCACAGACTCGCAGAACCAAATGCCGAGGTCCTGGTGCAGGAGGAAGAAGAGGAGCGGAGGAGGCATGAGGGGGAGGATGAGGAGGAGAAATAAGACGGGGACGAAGAGTGGTTAAAGGCCTTCCAGATGGGGTCCGAGTAGATGGGGTCGGAGGCAATCGCCGACGCATCGCTGATGCATCGGTACCGCCAGCGTGGAGAAACATTGGCTCCACATCGAGACCCCATGTACTCGGACCCCATCTAACTCTGAAAGTTCTGTAGACCCCCCCAAGAAAAAATGAGGTACCTAACTATTTGTTCGGTGGCCTTCTTGAAAGACTGGAGGGGTGTAGCTGCACCCCCTATTGCTGCACCCGCCGCGCAACAACGACAACAGCTACGAGGATACCGAGGACGACGAGGAGGAGGAGGAGGCTTTAGGAACTTTAGGACCAGCCTTATTCACCGCCAAGAGACAAGGGTGGGGAGGGACCTAAACAGCGGACGTTTGGCGGTGAGGTGGCCTGAGTGACGTTCTCACGCAACCCTCCAGATCCTTTGAAGGGGCCCAGGGGCTCACAAAGACATGCACACAACTCCCAAGATCCCCCAAATTTCACTTTTCCTTTTTGGAACGTTCGTCGTCCCCCCCACCTCCCAAATGTTCCGGTAGTTTCCGGGGAATCGACGATGAATTGTGTCTGCAAATTTGTCCCCTCCTGTTATATTCCTCCCATCGTATTTCAGGACCACATCCCCGAAATAATTTCGAGCACCCAGAAACGTGTCGCAAGAGTGTCGAACCAGTGTCGAAAGAGTGCCCCCCAGGGCCCGACACGTCAAAACCCTCGAGTTTTTCGGGGTGTTCTCTGGGTGCTCGAAACTCATTCTGTCTGGCGATCAGGGCTGAAGCAGGTTGGAACATCATAGCTCGGGAGCGGCCAAGAGGGGGGTGTCCAAGAGGGGGGGTGCATATCATGACCAGCGGCACGTGCGCGGCCCAGCGGGGGGGGCCCGGGACGCAATGAAGTAAGAAGCGGCGCCATGAGATCGGGGGAAATATCATGGCCCCCGCCAGGATATCCTCCCCCCCCCCTGGTCATCACCCCCATTCTCTTCCGCCCCCGAAATAGCCCTCCCGATCCTTCTTCTCCCGGGGGGGGGGTCTTTTCCAAGCTATCTTGGAGGGCCTGGGGGGGTCTGAGGACGATGTTTTGGAGGGTTCTCCCACGGCGGGGGGGTGGTCTGAAATGGCCGGTCTTGGAGGGTACAGACCCCCTCCCTTGTATTACGAAATCTGGAGTAAAGCAGGTTGGAACACCATCGCCCCTCGGGGACCTTCTGACCCGGGTCGATCCAGACCCGGGTCAGTCAGGCCTTGCAGAATCCTGCAAGATCCTGCAAGATCCTGCACCCAAACCAGGGTCAGTGCGAAGGATCCTGCAAGATCCTGCAGGATCCTGCACCCAAGCCCGGGTCAGTGCGACCCTGGCCCTGCAGGATCCTGCAGGATCGGGCGCTCTGGCTGACCCCCGTTTGCATTGACCCCCGTCTCGAGGCTCCCGACGGTGGGGGGGTCTGAAATGGCCGGTCTTGGAGGGTACAGACCCCCTCCCTTTTGTTACGAAATCTGGAGTAAAGCAGGTTGGAACACCATCGCCCCCCCGCTCCTTCTTCTCCCGTGGGAGAACCCTCCAAAACATCGTCCCCAGACCCCCCCAGGCCCTCCAAGATAGCCTGGAAGAGACCCCCCCCGAAATGAGACCCCCCTCCCTTTATTACGAAATCTGGAGTAGCCCCCCCGCTCCTTCTTCTCCCGGTACAGCGCGCCCAGGCCGCAGCCCGCCACCTTCACGACCTTGAAGCGCACGCCGGGGATGTCGCCCACGGCGTGCCCGCGGCGGCCGAAGCCGGAGATCAGCACCTCTCGGGCGCCGGGTGGCCCCAGGGGGGGGGCGACCTGCGCTCGGCGGCGAGCCCCGGGGGGGGGGAGTTAGGAGGCAACTACTGGGAGGTTTTCGTCGGAAGGATTAAAGAGGATTAGGCCTATTGGGGGGCTGCTACGCCAGAGTGGGCCTCGGATCAAGCGGGATTAAGCCGGATTAAGCGGGATTAAGCGGGATTAAGCCGGATTAAGCGGGATTAAACGGGATTAATCGGAATTAAGCCAGATTAAGCGGGATTTCGGACCAGGGCTAAATCAGAATTTGACCTCCCAGGAGTTGCATCCGAGGGGGAGGGAGGAGGCGGAGGCCTCCTAGCTTTCGGTCGGGCCTGTCCCCCTCTACGGGCGGATTTTGGACGACAAGCCAAAAGAGTACCAGAGCAATGCGCCAAAAATATTCAAAAATGGTAAGAAGTCGTCCACGCTTTAGATTTTTCTTTTAAGAAAAACAAGCTATGTTTGATGTTTCCTGCTGTAGAGGGACAAGCCCGACTGAACCCTAGATGGAGTCGGAGTAGGTGAGGTCGGAAGGTCGCGCCACATCGCCGATCCATCGGCGAAACATCGCCCATGCATCGGCGACACTGGCGATGCACCGTCGACGCCAGCGTGGAGAACATCGGGCTCCACACCGAGCCGCTTCGCCGATGCATTGGCGATGCGGCGCGATTCTCCGACCCCATCTACTCGGACCCCATCTATGAGGCCTCGAGGAGGAGAAGGCCTTCTCAGAAGGCTCGGAAGCGCCCTGGCCTTCTGAGAAGTTTCCTGGGCCTCCCCCGAAGGCATAGAAAATCTCTCAGAAGGCGCCAGGGCTTCTGAGAAGTCCCGCCGCCTTCTGAGAGGGCCTTCTCCTTCTCACTTCCCCCCCTCGCTCGCCGCCGATACGTGGGGGGTGAAGAAAAAGGCCCGAAAGGGGCCCTTTAGGGTCCCTTTTGGAGCTAGTGGGGGGCCGGAAGGGGCCCTAAAGCGCCCCCGTGGGGCCCCTTTTTCTTCACCCCCCATTTTGGTCACACCCCTTTAGCACCCGCCCGAACCTCGTCGTTCTCGTCGACGACCAGCGGCACGCACGAGGGGGGCCAGGGCAACGCTGGCGGGTTGGATAAGCAAGAACAGTGCCCCCAATATATTGGGATTGTACCTACATATTCCAAAGAACCGTGGGCCGACTTGAGGCCTCGGTCTAATTGTGGTATCAGGGTTAGGGCTGTATTACGCTTAATGATGTTTGTTCCCCCCGAAACCATTGGCAACCTGGGCGTCGCAACCTTTTGAACGCCCTGCGCTTTCGCTCAGATTCGGGCCCCAGGCCCCTCGCAGATCGCCACAACTCGCGACATGCTGCAGACAGATAATGACGATAGCTCTGAACGTGATTTTTCCGCGATGTTGCACTTTTTCGGCGACGTATCGTCAGGTCTGGGCCAGATCGATTCGGGCCGCTCCTGAGCTGGCGCAGAATCGGATCGGAATCGGATCGCCTGGGATCGCGGATCGGGCTGGGCCACTGCAGGCTGGAGAAAGAATCTGTCTGTTTCGGATCGGATAGGATCGAAATCAGAATCTGCTGATCGGATGGGGTCGAATCGGACCGATAGCAGCCCTCATCGTGGGGGGTCCCAAACCAATGACCTCGAAAATCAGACTACCTCATCCGCAGAAGGCATCTAAATGCGCCGCTGAGGACAAACAGGACACGTGGGAGGGGGACGATACAAAAGAATCAGTTATCTGCCACCATGGACATTCTGAAGTGGACGATGAGATATAATCTCAACAACGACGACGACGCGCAGGGCCAAGCCCAGAACCAAGGGGGCTGCTTCGCCACGCCCCCCCCCCCCCCGCGTCTCTTAATCGCCAAGCGCAACATGCCGACTGATGCCACCTGCAGCGCAGTCTGACTCTGGCCATCGCTCGGACGTCCATTCCCTGTGCTTTCTTCGGTTTCGTGCGTGGTTGTTTCGCAGGATGATCCAGGATGCTCCTTAATAATCCCAGTCGAGAAAAAACACACACGTCCGAGCGATAGCAAGTACTTCGAGAACACATGCCAAGCATGCGAATGGTTTGTGGTGGCCTCGCGCTCCTCCCCAGTAGTGCCGCTCCTGGCAGCAGCTGCGACAAGCTGTTTCGTGCAAGGACCACTTGCTGCCTGCCACGGGGCCCGCGATCAATGGCACCAGGAGCCCTAAGTCGGAGCAAGACCGCGCGATCGACGAAAGCCTTCCTTCGGAGATCTAGATTTAGGTCGGGCATGTCCCCCTGCAGGCGGATCTTGGTACTCCAAATCCGCACATCATCGAGACATCGTCCCCCTACTATTTTTTTGACATTTTTTTGCCAAGCAGTGCTTGCACTGAAAGGGTCCTAGCGGAAATTGAAAGATTGAACTAACACTTCCCGCCGATCTTAGTGGCCGGCTGGGTTCCCCGGTTCCCGGTTCCGGGTTCCCGGGTGCTCCGGTTCTGGGGTTCCTGGTTCCGGGTTCCCGGGTTCATGGTTGTTGGAACGGGGCCGATTTCGGTGGGTTCCGGGTGCTCGGGCTCCCGGGTTCCTCGTCGATCTCCTTATCGATCTCTTCACCGATCCCATTTCAAACCATCCAGAGCGGAGCCCTCCCTGGCGCGCGGAGCGCGCCAGGGGCGGCGCCAGAGGCGCTGCCGGGGGGGCCAGCGCGGATCCAAGAAATCTGCGCGGAGCGCCCAAAGTGTATGTTTCTGGCGCTTTTCCTTCAAGGTAGAATCGGGGGCGGCCAAGAGGGGGTATCCAAGACGGGGGGGGTGCAGATCATGATCGGCGGCATGTGCACGGCCCAGCGGGGGGGGCCAGGGACGTAATGAAATAAGAAGAGGCGCCCTGAAATCTGGAGAGATGTCATGGCCCCCGCCATGATATCCCCCCCCCTAGTCATCACTCCCCTTCTTTGCCGCCCCCGAGGTTGGGTGCGCCGGACAGGGGCCGATAAGAAGGGAGTTCTCGCGCCTCGCGGCCCGAGGCACGTGTGCGGACGACGGGGTTGCCAGGGAACGCACTGACAGAAGAAGATGGGCTATATGAGACGTGGAAGAGATGTCAGGCGGCGGCCATCGGGAGCCTCGAGACGGGGGTGAATGCAAACGGAGGTTAGCCAGGGCGCCATGACATCCCCCCCCCCTAGTCATCGCCCCCCTCTTGGCCGTCCCCGATAGAAGGGCCATGCCCGGCCCATGTCGTGGGTGCCCGGGAGGGCCCCTGCCCGGGGGTCCCTCCCGGCCCGTGCCCCCCACCGTGCCCGGCCGTGGCGGCGGGAGTCACGTCGGGCGTGTCCCTGTACAGGAAGAATATCAAAACATAGTCTTAAAACAAACAATGGGGACAATGTTCTAATCATGTTTCGATTATTTGGGCGCATCTTTTTTTAAAATCCAAAGTCCGCCTATAGGGGGACATGCCCGGCCTAAGAGGAGAGATGCCCCCAGAAGCACGCCAGGGGAGCAGGGAGCACCCTGCTGCTCGTCGCCCCGCAGTCTGGGCTCATCTCGCTGCCAGTAAGGCTGCATATGTTCGCTGCGTGCACCGTTTCCTCTTCATCGTGCAGTATACTCGCGATGCTGCGCAGCTATTCTGGCGTGACCGCGTCTGACATATCATGTTAGGCGTTCCAGAAATGGCCTCAGGGCCTCGTCTTCGAGGACCGAAGGGACTGGCATCTCTTCCCTCCCCCCCCTGGCGCGCGCCGCCGGGACGAAGTTCAGGCACCCGTCGCGGGGCACGAACGCGGCCACCTGCCCCCCTCCCCTGACCATCCGACGTCGCCAAAGAGGCTGCAGCAAGCGGCGGGCAACAACGGCCGAAGCCCTGCGGGGTGGCGGCATCCGGACCCTACCCCCCCCCACGAACCATCGATTCTCCTGAATCGATGGGACGCGGGGGTAGGGCTCGGACTTCGCCGCGTGCTCCAGGCATTCCGAACACTACCCCCCCCCCCCGCCCATCGAGTTCATCGCCGATCGGCGAAAGTAGGGTCCGAATTTCGTCGCCAACCCATAGACCCAACCCTTCTGCGGCACTTCTCGAGCTGGATCGATCTGTGCCCTGAGGTTGGGTCGGGCGTGTCCCCCTACAGGGAGATTTTGGGAGAAATTAGCCTGGCGAAGGACCCAACCATATGCAGTTGTGGGTATCGCATTCGGGGAAGCCCCGTATGGGGCCACGAAACGCTGTACTGGGTGTGGGGAGGACGCGTGCAAACTGCCCCACTGGGACCTTCGGTGGAGCTCCCTATGGGGCCACGAAACGCTGCCCTGGGTGGGGGGGGACGCATGCGAACTGCGCCACTGGGACCTTCGGGGGAGCTACCTACGGGGCCACGAAACGCTGCCCTGGGTGGGGGGGGGTGGGGGGCGCATGCGAACTGCGCCACTGGGGCCTTCGGTGGAGCTCCCTATGGGGCCACGAAACGCTGCCCTGGGTGGGGGAACCGCATGCGGGCTGTGCCACTGGGACCTTCGGTGGAGCTCCCTATGGGGCCACGAAACGTTGTCCTGGGTGGGGGAACCGCATGCGGGCTGTGCCACTGGGGCCTTCGGTGGAGCTCCCTATGGGGCTACGAAGCGCTGCCCTGGTGGGGGAACCGCATGCGGGCTGTGCCACTGGGACTTCCGTGGAGCTCCCTATGGGGACTACGAAACGCTGCCCTGGGTGGGGGAACCGCATGCGGGCTGTGCCACTGGGACCTTCGGTGGAGCTCCCTATGGGGCTACGAAACGCTGCCCTGGGTGGGGGAACCGCATGCGGGCTGTGCCACTGGGACCTTCGGTGGAGCTCCCTATGGGGCTACGAAACGCTGCCCTGGGTGGAGGAACCGCATGCGGGCTGTGCCACTGGGACCTTCGGTGGAGCTCCCTATGGGGCTACGAAACGTGTGAGGGGTGTGCCGAGAGCAGAGGCAAGGAGGGGGAGGAGGGAGGAGGGCGAGGAGGGGGAGGAGGAGGAGGAGAGGTGGGACGCGGGGCGCTGTCTCTTCAAAACGAGGACCCAACACCACAGGATGGTTGGGAAACATATCAATGTCAAAAAATAAGCATAAAACATCAGAAATAATCGTAACCCTTCTGTGGCACTTCTCGAGCCGGATCGATCTGTGCCCTGGGGCCCGAAAGTCAGCGACATAATCTGGTGCAAAAGCAAGGTGCATCGCCCGGAGCTCACGGCATCATTCGGCGCGCCACCCGAACTCGCCTTCGGAAGCCTGGAGTTTCTGCCTGGGACCTCGCCGTCGCTCGGACGTCCATTCCCTGACGGCGGCCGCGGCGTGCACCCAACAGGGTGCGTGCGCGCCGCTGGCGCATCAATCGCCTGTGCGCACCACATCATGTAGGGGGGGGGGGTCCAAGCCCCCCCCCACTACGACGATCGCTAGCTTTACCCGGGGGGGGGAGGGGGGGGTTCTGGCCCGCGTAGCGAGCGTTACCCGAGGGAAGAAAAAACAACTCACTGACAAGACCTCCTGGCGTCGTCAGACGCCGCGATGCGAAGTGTTTGCCCGTTGTGCCTCACCTGGCCCGGGGGGTCGTCAGAACACAACTCAGCGTGAGGAACGGGTCCCAGGTGATTGGGTCTGGGCCTCTCGGGCCTGTGAAAATAGAAAACACTACGTTGCAGATCTGGGCAGGAGCGACGAACGTACCCATGTCCATGAAGGAGAACTGGGACACACAAAAAATAATTACTCCGACGGAAGAACCCCACATAAGAATCCTCTGGGCGAATCTGGAAAAAAAACCATCACCGTCGTCCTCGTGGTTGGTGAGGCGTCCTGGCTGTCTCTTCTGCGTATATTTCCTCTCGCCTTGGCGCGGGCCCCCCTTCCACTCCTTACGTTGTCCCCATCCTCGCCCCCCTGTTTGTTCCGCGCCCCGCCACCTCCTCCCCTTCCTGTTGCATGAGCGCGCATGTCGATGTTCCTCGGCGCCGTCGCCGCCACGGCCAGCGCAGGCGCGTTCTCTACTGGTCACGTCGCGCAGCCGTTGGGACAACCCCGCGGGCCAGGCTGTCGGGACAACCCCGCGAGCCGTTGGCGCGCAAGACCAAGCCGTTGGGACAACCCCGCGGGCTTCGAGCGAGGCGCAGCCGCGCTCAGGCGGAAGGCAGCACGAAACCCAGCTCTGCCGCGAGCTGCTTCGCCTCCGCCCTGGACAAAACCGCTCTCTTGTCGAACTCCAGGAGCGCCTTCCGCAGGGACGCCGGCGGCCCGCACTCCAGGAACTCTCGCGGCGGCGGCCGCAGGATCAGCATGTTCCGCATGCACGTGGCGCGGGAGAACATGACGTAGAGGTGCAGCCACCACTGCTCGTCCGACATGCCCGTGCGGCCAGCGTCCTCGTCTCTCGCGCAGTCGATGGTGACGCCCTTGCGCAGCGTCTGGCCCTGCGACAGCGTGGAGGTCAGGTAGGACGCGTGCGTCAGGGTGAACCCCGAGCGGCGCACGCTGTGCGCCCCCGAGCTCTGCCATGTGAACTCCCTTTCGCTGGGCCTGAACATCAGCAAGCTCCGCGCCCGCGCCTCGGAAGAACATGTTCCTGATGACCCGCTCGGATTACCAACATGATCTGCGGGCCCCATAGGGAGGGGGCTCCCGCCTGAGACTTCCTCGCAGTTCACTCACAGACGAGGCTCCCGCCTGAGACTTCCTCCATATTCAGGCTTGAGGAGCCCAAAAGTGACGACAGTTACAGGGTTCCGATGACCCGCTCGGATTACCAACATGATCTGCGGGCCCCATAGGGAGGGGGCTCCCGCCTGAGACTTCCTCACAATTCACTCAGAGACGAGGCTCCCGCCTGAGACTTCCTCCAAATTCAGGCTTGACGAGCCCAAAAGTGACGACAGTTACAAGTTCCGATGACCCGCTCGGATTACCAACATGATCTGCGGGCCCCATAGGGAGGGGGCTCCCGCCTGAGACTTCCTCCAATTCACTCACAGACGAGGCTCCCGCCTGAGACTTCCTCCATTTTCAGGCTTGAGGAGCCCAAAAGTGACGACAGTTACAGGTTTCCGATGACCCGCTCGGATTACCAACATGATCTGCGGGCCCCATAGGGAGGGGCTCCCGCCTGAGACTTCCTAACAATTTACTCAACGATGATGAGGATGAGGATGATGAGTGGTGGTGAAGATGAGTGGTGAATGAAGAGGATGATGATTGATTGTGAGTGGTGGTGGCGATGATGATGTTTGAATGAGGATGATGCCGATGCCGATGATGATGATGATGATGATGATGATGATGATGATGTTCGTGAGCGTGTGAGGGAGTGCGAGTGATGATGATGATGATGAGTATGTGAGTGACTAAGCATGTGAGAGAGCATCATCGATGATGCTGATGAGGTTGATGATGAGAGTGTGAGTGGGTGTGAGTGGGTGTGTGTGTGTTCCTGTTCCTACGCGGGGTGTCCAGAGAAAATTACTCCGACGGAAGAACCCCGCATAAGAATCCTCTGGGCGAATCTGGAAAAAACCATCACCGTCGTCCTCGTGGTTGGTGAGGCGTCCTGGCTGTCTCTTCTGCGTATATTTCCTGTCGCCTTGGCGCGGGCCCCCCTTCCACTCCTTGCGTTGTCCCCATCCTCGCCCCCCTGTTTGTTCCGCGCCCCGCCACCCCCTCCCCTTCCTGTTGCATGAGCGCGCATGTCGATGTTCCTCGGCGCCGTCGCCGCCACGGCCAGCACAGGCGCGTTCTCTACTGGTCACGTCGCGCAGCCGTTGGGACAACCCCGCGGGCCAGGCTGTCGGGACAACCCCGCGAGCCGTTGGCGCGCAAGACCAAGCCGTTGGGACAACCCCGCGGGCTTCGAGCGAGGCGCAGCCGCGCTCAGGCGGAAGGCAGCACGAAACCCAGCTCTGCCGCGAGCTGCTTCGCCTCCGCCCTGGACAAAACCGCCTGAGACTTCCTCCATATTCAGGCTTGAGGAGCCCAAAAGTGACGACGGATACAGGGTTCCGATGACCCGCTCGGATTACCAACGTGATCTGCGGGCCCCATAGGGAGGGAGCTCCCGCCTGAGACTTCCTCCAAATTCACTCAGAGACGAGGCTCCCGCCTGAGACTTCCTCCAAACTCAGGCCTGAGGAGCCCAACAACTTCCTTGTTGCATCCAAAATGTGGCTTGGGAACTGCGTTCTGGCAGCGCGAGAACCCAACATTGACGACAGTTACAGGTTTTGGATGACCCGCTCGGATTACCAACATGATCTGCGGGCCCCATGGGGAGGGGGCTCCCGCCTGAGACTTCCTCGCAGTTCACTCACACACGAGGCTCCCGCCTGAGACTTCCTCCATATTCAGGCTTGAGAAGCCCAAAATTGACGACAGTTACAGGATTCCGATGACCCGCTCGGATTATCAACATGATCTGCGGGCCCCATAGTGAAGGTGCTCCCGCCTGAGACTTCCTCACAATTCACTCAGACACGAGGTTCCCGCCTGAGACATCCCCCAAATTCAGGCTTGAGGAGCCCAAAAGTGACGACAGTTACAAGTTTCCGATGACCCGCTCGGATTACCAACATGATCTGCGGGCCCCATAGGGAGGGGGCTCCCGCCTGAGACTTCCTCCAAATTCACTCACAGACGAGGCTCCCGCCTGAGACTTCCTCCAAATTCAAGCTTGAGGAGCCCAAACGTGACGACAGCTACAGGTTTCCGATGACCCGCTCGGATTACCAACATGATCTGCGGGCCCCATAGAGAGGGAGCTCCCGCCTGAGACTTCCTCCC